CTAACTATAAGTTGATTTGCATACAAAGCAGAGCTTGCAACATGATAGCTATTCATAAAGGGTGTTTTTTTTTTACTTTTCATATAATACAGTAGTCACACATGAGGCAGTTCATATTTGTCTCAGTGAATCATTAATTTTTGACAGACAACTGTACAAAATACTTGGACTAAAGCCAGCTAAAATGTTCTGTTATCTTGCATGTTTTATGAATCTATTCACATCTAAATGCAGCACTTGTTTTTTGCAATGAGACTTTTGTTTTTATACTAAAATATCTGAATTATTTTGAATAAAGCTATAAAATTATGTCCCTTAAAATAATTAAACAAATAAGGCACCAATGTTTTTGTAAGATATTTACATCTTTTAAGGACATTCGGTAGACTGATTCCCCACTGTTGGTTCAACCCCAAAACTTGATTGTATTCAAAATTAATTTTGACAATGCATATTCATATTGAAATAAACTATGATAAAGGGAATTATATTATATTATATAACAAAGGGCAAGGTCACCAGAGTTCAACTATCATTTAGATAATGTGTCTATCCTCAATTTTACATATATTCATTGAGTTTTAATTTAGCACATTTTCCAGTCAGCAAAATTAAAACTCAGTGAATAATTAATGCTTTTACAGTATGTATTACTGTATTCATCTGTATGATGTGTAGGTTGAAATAGTAGCATGTGCGTAACTTTTAGAATGTCTGAACCACATATCCTTTAACTCGTTTTTCCCTTTTGCTACCTTAATTAATATGCATAGACTTCAAATGTCTTTCAAATCATGTAAATAATACTATGTTACCATGATGATGCCTACGGTAGTTATTTTGTCGTTATAATGATGGCAAATTGACTCTATGAAGTTGAAACCTAACCAGGTGTGTATGATTTGCAGTGATCATATTTCACCAACATTAAAATGATACTCTCACACTGTTGCTTATAGTTAACTCCCATGAAGATGATACTTTTATCCAACGGTTTTTAACGATTGTTTCAGAGATAAAAAAATAACAATCTTTAGAACCTGAACCAAAAGCTTAAGACACATACTTTGTGTAATCTGACCTAACACAATATCTATTAAAGAGCTATATAGAGATGTCATCAGGAAAGTACATCCTGAGAAAAAAAGCTGAGAACATAACCAAGACAACTCTTTATTTGACTCCAGCAGAAAGGAGAAAGTGAGGTCATCCAAGAACACTTGGCGATGGGATGTGAAAACGACCAACCAACACCATCAGTATGGTCATTTTCTTTAAGTTTACATAATTGATATACATGTATCATGTTACAAAGAATAGGAAAATGAAATAAAAATATGTACCGGTAGTCACCTCACTCACCTGAAAGTAGAATGTTTTGTCAGTTTTAGTGCATTTTACCATTGTTTTCTATCGAACGGATATATCTCAATATCTCAAAATTTTGCTTAATGACATATGGTGAAAACGGGTATATAGTACAAGGTACTCGAGAGTAGTATTGTACCTTAATATTTAATGTGTATATTTGTTTTATTACAGCTATCGACTTTGGGTCATCATCTTAACATTCTTGGGGTACACCAGCTATCATCTGTCCAGAAAACCTATTAGTGTTGTTAAGGTAAGTTTTTCTCTTGTTTTTATGAGCTACTCAAGGAATTATTAGTTATAAGCTATGTTTTTTTTGGCAATTTTTTGGTATTTTAGACCCATGTGATAACAAATGAATATACACATGAAGTATTAAAAATGGTAGGGGCTTTATGCTATATAAAAACACTTGGACAGCTTTGAATAAATAAACATAAATACATTTTAATACAAAACTTTCACTTTAATAGTTCTCGAACTGACTGCATTTTTTTTTAATTTGCCCGTTGATGTAAGAAGTTGTACTTCCGAAGACAGTTCAATCTCATGGCTATATCTCAAGAAAGGTGAACAGTATTTTGCAGAAAGTGATAATATAAACACTTAGTGTGAATTATTAATTAGTGTGTTTCATATAATTTGCATATGAGGTTGATTATAAATAATATTGTGAATATTCTTTTTTACAGAGTATATTAAATCGTAATTGTTCAGTTTCGTTAGAGAATGACCAATATATCGACATCAATGCTGCCAATCACTCAGACCCTTGCTGGTGCTGCTGGGCCCCGTTTGGTAAGTTTTACTTGGGCTATATTGCTACACAACAACACTAAATGTATAATGCTATAGTGGGACATTATAATGCCACATGAGAATACTATAATGCCATATGAGGACACAGTGGGGCAGT